CTTTTTGGTGGGGGTGGGTAATAAAATAATATAACATCATTATTTTTATATATATATATATATAAAGCTATGCTATATTTATGTGTTAAAGTGCTCAATATCAGCGATAGTGTATGTAAATATAAAAGTAGACATTGAAGTCAACACCCACTGCCAAGTTTATTTCATGCTAAACATAAGTGTCAGGAAATATATATATGTGTGTGTGTGTAACTAAATCCTGTGATAGGTAGAATGTGGCACATAGTATAATATGGGAGCTGTGGGGAGGATCAAAGGAAGTTACTCAGGTTTCCACAACAAATGTCATGAAAGCATCAGTATACTTCAATCTTTATCTGACAGTTCATTGGGGAGGTGCTATCCTAGGAGTGGAATCCTCAAAACCAAGGTTACCTTATTTTTAATGATGTCCCACTGAAGATGAGAAAGCATATAAGTGATTATTATGATCTATTTTGATCTCATTTAAAAACCTTACAACTAAACTCTAATATTATTTATCTTAATTTACCCTATTCAGTGTGAATATTTACAAAGTTTGTTACAATTGTCATCTCCTGACAATTTACTAAACCAAGTAGGTGGAGGCTTTTTTTTTTTTTTTTTTTTTTTTTTGTCCACATGACTTTTCAGTTGATAGTGCTCCTTTTATGGTTGAATAATTGATTTGAAACTTTAGATATCTTACTAAAAAATAAACTGTAAGAAAAACAATATTTTGGGGTTTATTGATTTCAATCCAATAAAGAATAACTGCAGAACACTTGCACCTCCCCTTTTATAGGCAAAATCACACAAATGTATGCTGGGATTTTTTTCTTAGCCAATAAAATAGGTTGGTTTGCAATTTAACATGATTCACTCCCAATCGGCCTTGTCTAGAAGACAATGCTACATTCGCTTGTTCGAACTTACATTTGTGTATTGATGACAATTCTTAGTTTATTAACTTCTTGCCTTCTCACTGTTAATTTATCTTGCATATGTTGTTTGCTTGTATGATATTTCATTTTTGCCCAGTTCTTTTTTCTTTTTATTGCAAACTGTTGGACAAGTTTTGTTATTTGTATTTGACCATGTCTACTCACTCCACAGAATTATTCTACAAAGTAATTGTGAATAAAATGAAAACTCCTTTTTGTTTCACAATTGTTGACATCATCATATTTTTGCTTACATGAGGATTTTTGTAATTTTATTAAAATTACATATAGTCTTACTTTAGCTATCCAATACAGGGACTTTATGCCTTCTGTACACAAATATTTCAAATTGTGTTCAGCATGAATTCTTTGTATTGTAAATGAAGCGATTACATGAAGCATTTGGTTTATTTTCAAACTGATGACGTCACTAGTGAAAATATTCACAGTGGATGCCATTTCAAACTGCCAAAGTGACCAGTACCTCACAAATTCAATAGCTGACATCTGGGACATTTTCAAGAGAAAACATCCAGTCTGGGTTATTGTTGTGGATATAGTCACTTCTAACGAAAGAAAAAACAGCACATTAAACAATATTGTAGGATTTCACCAAACCACCAAAGAAAAATGAATTAGAGTGTTAGTATAAAAATAAAGGACTGTCAAGGTGCATAAAGAAAAATATAAACATGTGAATGACGGACTTCGACAACGGATACGGAGAGAATATTTTATTCGACTCCTCACTAACTACACAGTATAAACAAAACATGGCCGCCGCCCCGACTTCTGACCGGAAATCCTTTCCCCGACAGGGAGAGTTTTCAGGGGAGATAGCTCACATAGATTAACATAGAGTATTTAAGCATTTTAATTCAAAAGATTTGTTGGAATGAAAAGTTCTAGAAAAATGTGTAATCTCACAATAAGTTATTCATTTAACCCTATACTGAACAAAGGCAGAGCTTTTTCTTCCTGTCTTCACACCTTTTAATTGATATTGCTGCTTTTGTAGTTGATGTATTAATTTGAATTGCCAGATATGTTACTAAAAATAGACTCTTGAAACAATTTTGTTATTCTAAGAAGCAATTGTGGATATAATGAGAACTCCTTTTGTTTCATAATTGCTGATATCAGCATATTTTTGCTTACATGAGGATTTTGTAATTTTAGAAAATTACAGTCTTACTTTAACCTTCCAATATAGGTATGTTCTGTCTTTAGTACATAAATGTTTTAAAGTCCGTTCAGCATGAATTCTTTGCATTTTAAATGAAGCAATTGCATTGAAACATTTGGTTTGCTTACTTCAAACTCTTACGTTTGATTGTGATATTATAGGCACCCACATAGAAAAGGAAGATATGGTTTTATCTTAAGCAGATGGCTCTTTTTCAAGCCTCTCTTTTAAGTGGCATTCACTCTGACTGAAGGGTAATGGGGAAGTAAAGGAGTGAATGAAGAGGTTTTTGGAGACTTAATGACAACAAACCAGATATTGATTATTTTCGGGTGCTGATCTATATTAACAATCAAGCTAGTGATTGAAGAATTAGTTCTAGTTCACCCTTGGTGGGAGACGGACTTGTCCATCATATAGTTTCAATACTACTCCATTCATATTGCCAGCCAGATTTATAGATGGGCAAGGAGTTGGTAGGGGGAAGATCTGATCTATGAGATCGATATAGAATTTGTCCAAAGTATCACCTACCTAACCACCCAATCCATGTACAGATATTATGGAAAAATGGTTTGCGTTCTGTTTCGTACCTTGTGTGCAGCAGGCCCTTCCCCAGCTTTCAGTGCATACTGATGAGATCATGGGGTAATCCTTGGGCAGTTGTTGGAAAGATTAGGAGTGTGTCATGTTCTAGTCACTAGTTCCATGCCAAATTAAAATTTAAAATAAAAGGCAAAAGAATAATCCTGGAAATTTTCAAACAATTTAAACTGTTATTTTGAGCTGTATGGCATTTTAAAGTTGGCAGCCCCTCCCCAAAAATGAGGAAAAAAAAAAAAAAAACAACCCTCCGTCTATGCTTTTCACAACTCTGAAATAACCTGTTTGTAATAGCATTAATTATTTGCCCTATGGTGCCTGTGTGATTTTGAAAATCAGGAAAAATTAATTCCAGAAAGTGGCCAGTCCAAGGTGTTTTAGATATGATTGTGCACACACACACACACACATATATATATATATATATATATATATATATATATATATATATATATATACCACTAAAAACAAAATGAAAGGTTCCAAAAAGTATAAAAGAAAATAAATTTACTTGTGTTCTTAAAATGTCAATTTTATAACTCTGTCATTATATATATATATATATATATATATATATATATATATATATATATACACAATGTATAAACAGAATATATATTCAGGCTTAGTCCATTTCATTATATATATATATACACACTCAACTCTCCTGTTAAATTCGAGAGATTCAAGCAGATCAGTTCCCAGGAAACTGACAGCCTGACAACGGCACATGAGATTTGATTATAGTGGTGAAAGTTTCGTGTAGGACCGTCCACACTTTTTGAAGGGCTGAATACAGAAACCTGGTGCACTAAGTGCTACAAGGTCCCCAAGCAACCCTCCTCAGGTTTTGAATTCAAAGTTGTCCTTCTATTAGACCAGTTGCCATCCAAGGCTAGAGAGTCCAGTCTGTTCAGCTATTTACCCATAGCTGGAGGGAGAAGAGGATTCACACCACATATATATATATATATATATATATATATATATATATATATATATTTTTGTATTTGAGCAGCAATCCCTCTTTTATACAAGTTTGATTAAAAACAGCTGACGAGGTACTGCAGTTAAGTTTTTTTTTATTTAATTCTTTTTGTGCTCTTATTTTCTTATTTGGATATAAAATCATGTAGTACTTGTCAGAATGTTCTATATGTCTGAGTGTTTTTTATTGAACTTTTAACCATTATCAAGGATGATTTTATTTTTACTTTTAACTGAATGTATGGACTATTTTATCTATGTGTCTAGAGTTATAGGAATGTTCTATTTTTCAAACACTGTCAGCACATTTCTACATAACTTATTTCCAGAAGAAAATTATGAGAACACAAGAAAAATTAAAAAAAAGTTAGCCACAGTATCAGGTCAGTTGTTTTTAATAAAGCTTTATATATAGTGACTCATCAGGACCAGTTTCCTATCTATATTACCAGCTTACTAATTGCTCTGTACTATCACCATTTCTCAGCCAGTAAGTACAGCATGTCACACAGATGGTCAAAGTGTTTATATTTCTTGATGTCACTGTTTAACCCCCCCAAAAAAAAAAAAACTTTTAAACAGTGTCTCATTTTGGACTGAGAGCATTTGTTTTAGAATGGTTGGGTTTTTAAGGGGAATAAGTTATGTTGGAAAAAAATATATATATATATATATATATATATATATATATATATATATATATATATATATATTTTTATATCAAAACAGAAAAAAAATAAAAATGAAAACTGGGACACATTTTAGCTTTCAGTATCTGTCTATATTTCTGAGATGAGGTATTATGTACACTATTTACATTATTCAGACTATTGCCCTCATCTTTGTTGCCATACTTATTACATTTCAGCCGTTGTATGCTCTGGCCTTCTTCAAATGGTTGGAAGGACACATGGCACAGTAGATAAAGGTGTCGGTTAGATCCAGTGACAGGACCCAAAGAGTGTGAGATAACTGATAACTGACATCCATTAAAACATGGCATGTTGAATTAGAACAGCCTACCCCAGTGAACAAAATAAAGGGTTCAGTTTGACATTCCAACCACCTGAAGAAGGCCACAGTGTACAACGGCCAAAATGTTGTAAGAAATATGGCGACAAAGGTGAGGACAATAGTCCGAATAATGTAAATAGTTTTAGTTTTTATTTACCTCATTTTTTTCTTCATTTTGAAAAAAATATTTTACCTAATTTTTTCTTCATTGTTCTTTATTTTATTCCACCAGGAATGTCACTGTTTAATGGAAATTAAAATGTATTTTTTTTTCACTTTTTCAGTGCCAAGGGGATCTTGTTCCCCACAGTACACCCCAAACGATAGCTTGTTGTGATTGGGAAGATCATTGCAATCGAGATCTACGGCCCATCTTTATTGAACGGAGTACCACTCCTATCCCAGGTAGGTACATGCTCTCATTTTTTCAAACTACTAGAATTTCGATTATGGTTGGTTCCTGATCAAAAGGGATCAGGCATCATACCTAGATTGAGATTTCCTTTTTTGCTTTTTTCTCTATCCTGTTTCTCTGTCCCCTCCACTTTTCTTTCCCTTTAGTCTCTGTAGCCAGTTTTGTCGTGCTTGGAATAAAATTCTTATTCAGAACTTGCTGTGGCAGATTATTTCCACAACGAAGTAAACAAATCGCAAGTCCAAATTCAAAAATCCAAGGGCAGAAAAAAATAGTGAAATCTCGATTTGAAGGCCCTTTGTCACAAATCCCAATACATGTAAACAGTCAGAAATCTAACACACCAGCCAATGAATGAAGTAGCAAAATAAAAATTAAAAAAAAAAAATTTTTTCTCCCCAATTTGAGAACACTGACTGCTGTTATTGATGAAACAATATTTTCATTGGTCGGCAAGTTGGAGAGCAGACAATATTAGCATATCCGAGATACATTTATGGCAACACCTGCAACTGGCATGTTTCTATTTTGGATATTCCGTCTTTGGCATATCATGCAGAATACATGCCTTTTTTCTCGGTAAGTAACTTTCTTTTTTGCCACATTTTCTGATGTAGAATACATGCGACAAACTGTCGCTTGGTTTGACAAGGTAATTTGCCATTTTCTTCACTACAGTCTCTCTTTTCCTTACTCTTTTCATCTCTTTCCTACTTTCCCACCTGTTTCCTCTTTCTTCCTCCTCTCCCCATTTTCCAGTCTTCACTTATTTCTTCTCTCTCTTTTAATTTTCCTTTTTTCCTTACCTCCCTCTTTTCTCTCTTGACTCGTATCAACTGCTACAACAATTATTGCAATTAATACAAATTCAGTGATTAATTCAATTTGTTACTCAACAAAACAAAACAACAGATTGAGGCAAAAGACTTTTCTACCATTTTGTTAACATCACTTAAATATTTAGAGTAAATTAATACCAAACACTGTAAATTGGCCTTGGGGCACAGAAAATAGAGAAATTCTTAGTGTAGTCTGTAACAAGTCAGTTAGGGTCCAAAAATTTTCTTGAGTTAATGTACCAGCTTGTTTTGAAAATTTCACATTTCACTTGACCATTAGCACTAGTGGTAAGCATCACCCACTAATCAGACCTTATTTCTCTTTTCTATACCTGGCCATTAGCATTGGTAGTGAGCATGACCCACCAGGCAGGCCTATTTTCTCTTTGCTATACTTGGGCATTAGCACTGGTGGCAAGCATCTCCCATCTTTATTTCTCTTCAGTATATCCACATTGCTAATTCTTTTATGTTTGCTACAAATCTTATATTAAGGTATATGATGCAACTTGTAAATATCATAAGTTTTTAGTCATTTGTTTAATAAATATCATTTTTTTTTTTTTTTTTTTTTTTTTTTTTCAGGTCACCAACCATCCGCAAATTTTGACCATACTAGTAAAATCGTCCTGTGTGTCTCATTATCTTTCTGTGTAATATTGACCATAATTGCAATGGCATTTGCTTATCAAAGGTAAGTAGCTTTTTATCACTTCTCTTGATTCTATTTATACTTCAAAAGAATGTTAGCAGATTAACGTCATCTGCATCTGGCGGTGGGGAATGCAGGATTATCCTTAATCCATGCATTTCATATTGTCTAAATTTCTAAAACATGCTTTTTTATAATTCTACATGTTATTTACCATAATATTTGCTGATGGAATGAACCAATGTATAGCATCTCACAAGTTCAGTTCTAGAGATTATTGGCAACTCTGCAAGAGTGTGCTGAACAACAGCAAATCCTCAATCCTTCCTCTATTCAATGAATTCAAATTCCTGATATCTACACCAGATAATGTTGAATGCTTTGCTTGTAAATTCTTTTCCAATTCCACAGTCGTCTCATTTGGAGTACCCACACCTGATTTTTTTTTCAATAGGACAGACGCTCTACTGAGTGATATGCGCATTACCCCATCACTGGTCTGACATCATTTCTAAATTAGACTCTCATAAGGCAAGTAATGGTGATGGGATCCCAGCCATTATCCTAAAAAAAAAAAAGTGCTCCCAAGCTTGCATTGGTCTTCTCCAAACTCTTCAACTATTGCCTCACTGTTTCCTGCTTTCCACCTTGTTGGAAGTCCTCTTCTGTAGTTCCTGTTTTTAAGAAACCTGGAGAACCTTCTGACAATCCTATTACCCTATTGGTCACCTACTACTTTCCGGCAAAGTATTTAATGCTGAAATGGTTAAGCAACTTATCTCTCACTAACTACTCTCTGACAAACAATATTGCTTCTATTTTGACAGGTCTACTGCTGATGGGCTAACAGCCATCACTGAATATGTATATCAAGCTCTTGATAATAATGGTGAAGCTCAAGCTGTGGCTCTAGATATCTCAAAGCATTTGACAGGGTTTGGCATGCTGGTCTTCTATGTAAGCTCCAGGACTACTGTATTACTGGACTATTGTTTGATTTAATCCAGTTGTTCCCATCAAATCGTGAAATGAAGGTCATTCTGAATGGGCTTGCTTCCAGATCTTTTCCTGCAAATGTGGGTGTCCCCAAGGCACTATCTTGGGTCTTATGCTTCTTCTGATCTTCATTAATTCCCAAGTGGGCATTTATTTTCATGATACGACCATTTACTACTGTCTCAATAGCAAATCTCCCAATGCTGGCAAAATTAACCTGGCTGCTGCTCTTGAAAAGGATCTTCAATCTGTGGTTAACTGGGGTAGGAAATGGCTCATAAATTTTAATGCCTCCAAAACAAAACTGCTCTCAGATTAAATGAAAGCAGTCTACTTCCTACCTTCCATCAGCATGGCTGATGCTAGACTCATAGAGAGCAACACACTGTGCCTTCTCGGCCTCACATTTTCAGCTAAATTTAAGTGGAACAACTACATCAAATTAATAGCTGCATCTACTGCAAGGAAATTTAGGTCACTGTGTCATGCCAGAAGGTCTTTCTCATTAGAATCTGCATTTACAAATCTACCATTCATCCAAGCATTGAATACTGTTCCCAGGTGCCCTGAATACATGAATTTAAGTGTGCTACTAGATTGGCATTTAGGTCCCCCCCTTTTAATGTTGAAATAGCTAAATGCAACTGCCACTTCTACTCCAATAGTTTCTTTTCTCACACTTCACACCTGTGGATCTCCCTTCTGTTTCCTCACTTCCCTGATAAATACAATCTTCAAAAATTTAAATGCAACATTAATTACCATCTTCTGTCTTCTTGAATTCTGCTCTTTTGTCATTTTCTCAATCCTCCCTATTCTCAGTTTTCTCTTTCACTCCCTGTAACCCATTGTGCACTAGTGACATTCCTTCCTTGCTTGGGTTGAAATGATTAATATATAATAATGATATATAGTTTTAAGTTATATTTATTTTATTTAGACAGTTCAACACCAAATGGTGGCAGTATGTTTTATGCTTCTAGGCAGTTTTCAGGTCATATGGAATTTAGACTCTGTGCCTACACTAATATATATATATATATATATATATATATATATATATATATATATATATATGTGAAGAATATATAGAAAATAGGAAAGAACTTGTTAGGTAAATAATCCAAAGTTCTTTAGTATTTTTGTTATTATTTTTAAAAAATAGTGCTCGATACAAAAGTAGACCATAAATATAATTATTTATTTAAAAATATGATTCCTTCGCTACATAAGAGTTCTCATGCTTCAAAACAAGAGCCAAAAACTTCAATATAATTATTTGAATTAAAGTACTAAGCTCTGTTCCATCTTCAAGCGAAATTTTTTTGGAATAACTTATTTCTGAAATTTGTGTTTTATAAGCATATTCATTATTGAAATCAAAATTTCTATGGTAACGGCTAGAGCAATTGTTTAAATAAGAAGGGGTGTTAGGTGTTAATTCACCTTACGCCCCATTTTCAGAAATAAGTTATTCCCAAAAAATTTCGCTTGAAGATGGAACAGAGCTTAGCACTTTAATTCAATTTAATTCAAATAATTATATTGAAGTTTTCGGCTCTTGTTTTGAAACATGAGAACTCTTATGTAGCGTGTTGGAATCATATTTCTAAAAAAATAATTATATATATATATATATATATATATATATATATATATATATAATGTGTGGGTGTGTCTCTGTGTGAAGGTAAATTACAAGTGAAGGCAATTTTGAAATTATGCATTAAAAACAATAAGAAGGTAATATGTGTGACATCACATGTTCATTTATTATGAAGGCTGGTTGGCTAGCTAGCTATGTGTAGCATTCCATTATTGAGTGGAAGGGAGCAGCAAGTCAAATTTTGTGAACACTCCACTCAGTGATTGCACTATAGTGAACTTTTTGTGGGCAGAGGATGTTAAACCTGAAGAAATCCATTGTTGGATGCTGGCACAGTAATTCAACAATTTGACAAAGCTTTTCCATGAATATGAAAGTATTCTATTGAAAATAAGTAGACAAAGCTTGTCTAAATTATTCAATGAGATATCGTTTTATATATATATATATATATATATATATATATATATATATATATATATATATATATATATATATATAGTGTGTGTGTCATTCCCTTTGTATTCCATCAACAAAAAAAAAAAAAGGGTAAAAATTCCATTTGGACATCTCAAGAAGTGCTATTTTGTGGAACAGACTCTTGAGAGGATGCTTCCCTAATCATTACAATCTTAACCTCTTCATGTCTAGAGTTAACTATTATCTACTTTCAAAAACCTCATTCAGTAACACTCTACCTTGAGTGAATCTTTGACCTTGTATTGAACATCTCAGGGAAAAAAAAAATTTAACTAATGTTGCATTTCTCCCTATCCCATATAAAACTGCATTGAAAAATTTCAAACTGCTTTTGAAAAGAAGGCAATTTGGCAGTAGTGTGATGTGATATTTTGCCAAAACTCCTGCTCAAGATATGAAGAATTGTTATTGTCAATAACAGTCACACAGTACCCAAGCTCATTCAGTGGTGTCTCACAGCTGACTGACTAACCTTAATGAGAGTGTTACCATGCACACTAAGATTGTATTGGATGCTAAGTTGCATTTTGGTTACACAACAATATCTCAAGATATTCAAAATAATTGCATTCTTTCTGGCTTTTTTCTTTTTTTAGTTTATAACTTAGGCAAGAGTCATTAGCATATCCAACATTGATCAGTTGCTGAAATGTCTTTGTATCAGTGTTGTTGCTAGCACTATGAACTAAAAAGAGTCTATAGTGGTTTAGGGGTTAAAATGAACAGTTGATACACTTACACTAAGAAGATTACTAAAGGATGATAATGACAAGGAAACGGATTGGTAATTTTAACAAAACAAGATAAGGAATTTATTTACACTATTTATATCGTTCAGACTGTCATTCTTATCTTTGTTGCCATTTTCGCAATGTTTCGTATGCTCCAGCCTTATGGCAACAAAGATGAGGATAACTGTCTGAACAATGTAAATAATGTAAATAATTACAATACTTCATCTCAGAAATATAGACAGATATTGAAGACAGCCAAAACGTACAACCATTGAAAAGTCGTGAATATGGCAACAAAGATGACAACCGTCAAAACAATGTAAATAGTGTAAATAATTACAATACCTCATCTCAGAAATATAGACAAATATTGAACGTAAAGAATTTATTTATAGTTTTACAAACATGAAGTTGTGTCATTAGCTTGTTTCAAGAAAATAAATCAGAATTCTTAAAGTGCGTAGTTTTAAAGAATTGTTTTGAAGAAGAAATGTTCGTACAACAGATTAAGTGCTCTGACACAAAATAATGTTCAGAAATCTTTAAAACCAAGGTAACAGAGTTCCTTGCTCACCAAGGGGATATATGCTTTGCACAGTTTCAAAAGTAGACAGACAAAGATAGTTTGAAATACTTAGCTTTCTTGGATTGTTGAGTGAAAATTCTTTGAAGTGCTGCATGCTGGGTAGATGCAGATTAATATAATTGGTGAGTAATTTGACACTGTCAAGAACTTCAGTCATAGGGAACTGAAATGAAAAACCCTTCAGATGACTTCAGACACTCATCTCTTATTAATTTAATTTTCCCTCTCATTTTATATCAAAAAGAATTTTGCATAGGCTTGCTACTTTCTTTTCTTCTTCTTGGCTGACCAGTCAATTTCTGTGAAGGCAAGGTTTTCATTGCTCCAAAGAAAATTTTACATAATCTTGTGAATTCCTTTCCTCCTTTCTCAATCCTCTCAATTTGAAGGGAGTGGGTGAGGGGAGTTATTATTTCACACTCACTTCAAGCCATTGACATATTTGACTTTGAACACTTAAATCTCTTCTTTGACTTGTAGTCAGAAGGACACAAAAAATGCATGCTGGGATATTTTTCTTAAGCAATAAAATGGGATGGCTTGCATTTTGACATGACTCAGTTCAGATCTGCCTTAACTACTAAGCAGACCTACCACGTTCGCTTGTCCGACTTTGCTTTTGTGTACAAACACCAACAATAGTTGGTGAATTCTTTTGCCTTCTTACCTGTTTGATTTTGCTTTAACTATATGGTTTGTTTGTTTGATTGTTACTGTTTCATCCTTTTTGCCCTTTTTACTTTTCATTGCAAACTTTATTAATTCTGTTCATGTTATTTATCTTACATTTTGGCAATGGCTTCTAACTCATCATTAACTTTGAGAAGAGTCATTAGCATATCTAACATTGATCACTTGCTCAAATCTTGTCTTTGTTTAGTGGTTATTATGGGATTTAAATGCCCAAGCAATAGTGAATTTATTTTTTTATTCTGTTAATAAGATAATGGTCTGGGCATCACCTGGAAGTCCTCCCTCTCTGACAAACTTAAGAGGGACTTTTTTAAGGCCACATTAGAGTCTGTCTTGCTCTAAGACCCACCAACATTGACACTGACAAAACACTAACTAGCAACACTTGATGTAACATACACAAGTTGCATTGGACATTAGCTGGAAGAAGCACAACAAAGAAATGCCTGTATGGACATCTTCCTTCTATCTCGGTTTTGCTGAGAGAGAGAGAAGGCTTCTGCTAGCTGGTCACTCCTGGAGAAGTAAATCAGAACTTGTGAGTGACACCCTCCTATGGAACCCATTGCGTGGCAAAAGATCGGTTGAAAGACCTCATCACACCAACATTGACCAACTTGTAGATGACTCTGGAGGACCTGCTGACAGTAATGTTTTGACAGATGGTTGGAAGGAATGAGTCGGGTGAATCTGAGAAGAATTCTTGACCTGATGAAAAAGATAATTTCTATCTAACTGAAAAGGAGAACTATCTGACTCAGCTTTCAAAAAATAGACTTTTAAAATAATTTTATCAATGAGATCAAATAAGTGATTAAGTATATTGAACATGCCTGGAAATGATTTTTATTTCACAAACAAAATATTGTTAACAGCATACTTCCTCAGTAGATTACGTTATTCTAATGAAACAAAGCTTTTAAAGGCTTACATCCACATTGTGTTGAAATGCCAGTTCTCATACGATCACCAAAGTTGAGCAATGTCGAGCCTCGTCAGTATCTAGATGGGTGACCATTTGGGAATATCAAGTGCTGTAATCTTCCCTGTCTGATCACTGAAGTTAAGCAACATCGACCCTGATCAGTACCTAGATTGGTGACTGCTAGGATATACCAAATGCTGTAACCTTGTGTGTGTCAGTGGTATAATGAGCTTATGGCTACATCATGTTGAAACACTAGTACCTATATGATCACAGAAGCTGTGCAGTAACCATTTGGAAATACCAGTTGCTGTAAACTTGCATATTCAGGTAATATAATGAATACAGGTTTGGAATTTTTAATTGGAGAGCTGAGTTCCAATTCCCAAGCCTTAAAAAGCAAATCAATCAAACAAAGCTTTTAAAACAAAAATATCACAAACACAAGACTTGGCATCAAAGAAGATAACTTGATAATTTGATGGCTGAATGTGTTGACAGGTTTAGTATGGTGCATCAAAAGTGACATAAGTTTTTTTTTTTTTTGTTTCTTATAATAATTTAAAATCCTATAAAAATTTCTTACATTATTGAGTTACCTCTATCTCTTTCATTATTTAATAGCTAAGATAATGATAAATAATTTTATTAATTATTAATATTACATTAAGTTATTACATTTTTAATTTAATAACTGAGATAATAACTAATAAAATTATTATATTAACATAGGTACCTCCACGAAATCGCTAAAAAAAGAGCATAGCTTGATGAAAAAGACGCCAACCTTGCCGAAAACAAAATTTTATTGTCTAAATGCTTATGTTATTATTTAGAGGAAAGACCAAAGTTTTTTTTAATTATTTTTAAAAAATTTTCCTTCTTTTTAGAAAATTCTAAATTTTGATTAAAAAAAAACTTGTTTCTATTTGTATCAGCGGAACTAGTAAATAACATAGACAATTTTTAGCACGTTTTTTTGGTATGACACACATTAATTTGAAAAATCGTGCAAAAATAGAAATAATTATCGGATATTAATGAAACTTTCAGGAACTATTCACAGATGATCGAAATTATTATAAATATGTTTTTTTTTATGAAAGTCATGGTAGAAATATTTTTTAAAAATATTTATTAACCCCCCATAACTAATTTTATGAAAACGCTAGAAATTCGATCGCATCGGTTTTAGTGATTACAATAATTAAAAGCACAGGGCTTTGAGGAATGCAAATCATGTTTTTTTTTGTTTTTAATTGGATACCCAATACCTGAAAATCAGCTCTGAATTGTAACATACAAAACTCAATAAAACAAAGATATTATTTAATTTCAAATGCTTTTATTTGCTTTTAGTTGTTTTTATGAATATGGACAATATTTTCTGAAAGCAAAAAAAAATTTTTTCGATGAAAAAATGAATTTTAATACAATTATTTGTTATTTCATTAATTATAATAGATTTTACATTTAAGTTGTTAAAATATTATAAAATTAGTTAAAAAGCCGACAGGTGGCTTTCATAAAGTGTCCTTATGAGATAGATCTTTTTTTTAGCGCGTTGTAAATTGTATCATTTTGACTAATCAGAAGATCCTCAGTAATTAAGAAATGTAATTTTGTGCTTATAATCGAGCTGTAATTATAAAATACGGAAGACCAACCAGAATATAATTAAGTTGCGTTATTTGAGTTAAGCATTGTTCTCCGCTGTTAAGGCCTTTACTTTTATGAAACACGTGTGGAGAAGTTAATTTGATTTTTCAATTTCAACTGAGAAGGTTACCTACAAGTATCAGTATCATCTTATGAAATTTATATGATCTTATTTTTATATTAATCTCAGTTACGACATTTTTCCATAAATGAAATATCAAAATTAATAATAAAATGAATGCAAATACAAATAACAGTAGAATGTAATAAATGTACATAAAATTATAGTATTTTATGTACAATTCTGATAAAATTTCATAAGAAAGGTACCTATAAATTAATTAGATACCTTTCTTAAGAAATATGAAATTTAATGTCACTCTTAACAGTTTTATTTTAATTTCTTTACAATATATTTCCCATAAAGCATCATAAACGTAAAGGTGAAAGCTAAGTACAAAAAAAAAATTAGACCGCTGAAAGTTTTTTTTTAAAAAATAACGGGTAAATAATTTGTTCACGTAAATGTAAATTATTTCACTTTTTCTCCTTCCAGAGAACAAATTAGCCTCATGGAATTCGTAAATATATCATTCATCACATGTCAAGAGACGCGAAAAGTTTATGACCTGCTTAGTTTTATTTTCAAATTACATCTTTTTGGCACAAAAGCTAAGTTAAGTTTGGTTCAAAATATTTTAAATAAACATTATAATGTCTGATTTTCTTAAAATAAGTTTTGAAAAATGATAATTGATATTTAAAAAAATTTCAAAGTCAGATTTCCAGTTTTTTTTAAAATGGAAAAAAAATGGTCAATTTTGCTGACTCAAAAAAAACTAGATTTTTAACGAAAATTTCGGACGTGCTAGGAACGATTAAAAAAATGGAAAAAATACCCCCAAAATACTTTTGACCTTTCCTCTTAATGAATAACAAACATTTAGACGATAAAATTTTGTTTTCGTCAAGTTTGGCGTCTTTTTCATCATGCTATGCTCTTTTTTTAGCGATCTCGTGGAGGTACCTATATTAACAGTTAAAATATCTCACTGAGTTATTGTTTAAATTGATAAATGAGATAATTTTATTTTTAATTTTATAACTGAGAATGAGATAAGACCTTTACATGTCAAGGGGCTTTCCCGAAGGAGGAGACAAGCTTTGAAACATGTGGCCTTTTAACCATAATGTCACTTATGAGATATCATACTAAAAAAAAATATGATTTTGACACACAAAAAAATATTTTTAATTATGGTAAAAAGTCTTGGTAGCATTATTTGTATTAAGCTTTTAATTTTCGCTTAGTAAATATAGTCTTCACTTAAAAACTTAATAACCAACCCCACACTCTGCTTGGAAGAATTTTAAAACATTTTTTAAAATTAAAGAAAAATGAAAAAACTAAAAGAAAAATGCAAACAATTCTTATAAAAATTCTTTATACATTGAAAAAAATTTTTTCAGATAATAATGTCCTTAATGTATATTATTTATAAAAGCAAATAAAAGCCTATGTAATTTGATAATTAGATAGTTTATTGAAGTTTTTATTTTACAATTTAGAGCAGATTTTTTTAAGAAGCTGGCAGTAGTTGTGAAAAAAAAATTGATTATTTAATTTCTCCAAGGAGTCCTGCTTATAAGTAATATAAAACAATTTGCGTACTCTTGGAAATTCTAGAAAATTTCATAAAATTAATTTATGGTGGGGATAACAGATGTAAAAAAGAAATATTTTTACCAAGATTTTCTAAAAATAAAAATTTCAAAAATAAATTCATTCATTTTTGAATAAGTTCTGAAAAGTTCATTAAAATTGGACGATTATTTGATTTTTGCAAGAATTTCCAAATTAATGGGTTTTCCCCCTGAAACTGCTACACTAAAATGGCCATTACCTTGAGTATTACAAAGTTAACAAAAAAAAAAGATTTTTCACCAAAATTTAGAACATGTTAGAAAGAAGGAAAGTTTTTTTTTTTAAATATTTAAAAAAAAAAATACTTTGTTCTTTCCTCTTAATAATAACATAAACATTCTAATGATGAAACTTTGTTTTTCAGACCTTTTATCATTATGCAATACTGATTTTTTAGCGAATTATTGGAGGTACCTACTTTTTAGTATGTCAGGCCATTGATACTATTGGCAAATGTCACCCACTGAGCAGGCCTTGTTTCTCTTTGGGATACCTTGTTGTTGCTGGTGGTAAAAATCAACAAATATTGTTAACACATTTACTAAATTGTGCTATTCTACCAAAATGTAAACTTAAACAATTTTTTACAAATAAAAGACAAGTTACTCCTCCTGTTCTTTGCAGTAACATTTTTCTCCTGCAGCTGAATAGTAAAGAGCATCACCGACTCGTATATCTGAACCAACTGACCATTATATTGCAAAATAAATGCATGTTTATCCTTATATTTTCATTTAAATAGGTTAAAAAAAAAAGATAATTCCCCCACACACTTAGATTGACTATTCTAACTGGATTTCTTTGTCTTGAAACCGAGTGTCACTGACCTGCTTAAAGGAGTCTCTCCAAGTATTTAAACAGACAAAGCTTGGTTCTGATACATAAAACTAGAAATAATTCCAGCGATAAAAACAAGAGAGATGGAGGAGAGATAAGAAACTGGAGACTATAAGACTTATCTGATTGTCATTCATCAAAGTTATTTCAGCTGACCAAAGGCCAAAGGTCAGTCTGCAAAGGTTGGATTCAGTGTAGACAAAGTGTCTGCACCAAACCAACTGAATAACTTACAACTTGGTGTGATTGAACTTAAAATTATCCATTTGACCTCTCCCTCTCTCATTCTCCATTCTTCTTTCCTTGTTCTATGCAAATGTTCTCTTTAACTCTATGACACTTGTTGTCATTAGACTTCTACAAAGAAGTGATTTAAGAAAATGCAGTGGTTCCTCTTTAGGTTTAATCAATTGGCCATTGTTCTTTGTCCCCTTCTATTCCTTCTCTGATTTGGCGCCAGAACTTTGAATGTAAACAAATGTCACTTGTATAAAACAAGTGCCCAATAAATTAACATCCAATAGTTGATTGGATGCAAAGTGAAGGATCAATTGGTGATTGATTTATTTATTTATTTATTTATTTTTCCATCATTATAAAACTGAATTGAGAATTTATGAATATATGACATTAAACCTGTTAGATGGTCAAAATAGTTGTGTGTTTCTCATTGTCACTAGTATTTGTACCTTTTGAAAAAATATTTTTCGTTAGGTTTCGGGCGACATAATTTTCTGTATCTTGGTCATTTTGACATTGTGCTAGACAAAGTTAAGATTAGATTTAGAAAAGTTCTCAACCTGACAAAGAGACTGACACATCTTCATGGCATCAGTTAGTGTAAATTTTTGCCAGCACTTAAAGAAAGCATGTGTATTGTTAATACAGTGACGGAATTTTCTGAAAGTGATTGTC